GCAGGCGGGAGGTATGGTTGAGGATCGGAGAGGGGACGAAGGATCGGAAAGGGTAAGAGGGGAGGAAGAGAGAGAAAGAGAGAGATTGGGGAGAGAGGGAGAGAGAGAGAGAGAGAGAGAGGGAGAGCTCTTGTACGAGAACGCGTAATTTATGCTCTCATTATGCAACAACCGAGATTCATTACGAGCGACACGCGTTGTCTCGCGGATTTGGAGATCGATCTGCGAAGGATGATCTCGATGGGCGAAGGCATTGAAGGTAAGCGGCGCAGCAAGGGTCGAGCCCTGCCGATGCACTTCGGGGGTCAGGGTATGTTTCCGCGCGCGATCCAGAGATATATTGAGACCCGTCGCGATTTTTATTATTTTAGAAACAAGTTCCGACTTGCGAACATAATTCTTTCTATCAAACCTTTATTTATTCAGACGCGTTCAAGTTCGAATATTTTGTAAGCCGAATCGATCATCTTTTTTCTCCCACTTGATATATGATTATTCGACGCAATTAGAGAATTTTATAAAATATTCCTAAGATAATAGATTTCGTCCTATTTTCAGCGTTAGACAAAGAGATCAAAAAGTTGAAATATATCTAACATTTATATGTGTTTTTGAATCTCTTGTAATTATCATAAATACGTTAACATTTTATAACGCTGCCCTTAGATCCTAGCTGGTTCCCTCTTCTTTATTGCAATCCAGCTGTTCTTATTTACTGAAAAACTGAATTTTATGTTAGAGTGAAGAGTGCGTACGCCCTTCCGAGCCTTTTGACCCGATCGTAGCGCACGGGGTTACAGACGAAGGGGGCAGTCTGGCGGGACTCGCAAGGGGATGCGCTCCGCCCAGACGCGTTGCACCTCGGCTCTCCGACTGCATCGCGGAAACTATCGGTCCTCACAGTGGGCCGCACAGCGCCTGTAATCTCGGGGCTCCGTAACTACTCTTCGACCGGCGACAAAAAACCAGCAGAAAATGAAATACGGATTACAGTGGTTGGCCGAGAGCGGATAATAGTGGATAATGATGACCTCTCGGCCGGTGCGCTTCGCTACCACCACCCGCTCGGATCGCATTTTCCCCGCCTTTTCCCCCTTTTCTCTTCCCTTTCGCCGCGTCGCTTTCCGCCCGCCGTGCGTTTATCGCGCATCGGGATTTCCATACAAAGTTGCGCCCGATCATCGTAACGGCGGTCCGCGGCGTGCACTCGCTGCGTTTCTCACGCGCATCGCACGCTCGGGTGCATCAACCTCTTCAGCAACGCTGGAAAAGAAAAAGAATCGAGTAATCTCTGTTCAAGTTGTTCTAAGATTTTTGGTTTTTTTTTTGCGACGGTGCTCAATTAAATTCGCGATTTATCAGATCTCAATAATCATTTTAAGTACAAAATGAAAATCTTGAACATTTTTATGATTATTTTTTGTTGAATTAAAATATCAAAGCAACATGAATTTCTAGGATATAAGTCCTGTTCCGTAAAATGACACTTACAATATCGCTCCGGCCGATTTGCGCTTAATGTATTTGAGTGTGCTTGTTCGTGCCTATCATGACGGCCTCGTAGCCGTATAGTCAATAGGCCGACGTCAATTCGTACCGATGAAATAAATCAGGCGTCGATCGCGAGAGCGGGTGCCGGCGCGCGGACGCTCGCTCGTACAGGTGGAATTAATGCATGGAGATTTCCGATATATCGAGAGCGCTGTGGGAATAAATCAGCCGCTATATGGTGAACACGACTCCGCGAGCGGAGCGCGAAAGTGCGGGGGACAAGACTTCTGCGCAACAAATCAGACTGCGCGCACGTAGATCCGTGAAATTTAATTATCTAAGGTGATCCAGAACAACACGCCGCGATTAAGATCTTAATGGCGCGTCGGCCGTAGCGGAAAATGTTTTGTAGTAAATAAAATGAATGTGTCAGAGATACCTCGCATTTTTAGAAACATTATTTAGCAAATGTGCCGCGACTCCTAAAGAGTTCGATGAATTAATACACCGTTTGTTATTTAATTTCTGCTGCTGCTTTATATCGCACGCCGACTGCAACCAAAGTTGTTTGCCTCTCTAAAATCGAACGGCGAGCGAGGTGTCGACGACCGCCGAGAGACTTGCGAACGCGAACATAAATCCAAATTAGCGGCAACATAACGTGTAACCGTGCGCCGATCGGTCTCCTCCTTTCTCCTTCTCTCTGTAAGAATGACAGTAAATCGCGATGCGAGCTATCACCTCAGTCGATCGCTCAAATACCGATGCCCATTTCTAGGGCATACCGCAAATTCCTTCGCCGCGAATTTAGTATCAATTTCAGAAAAAAAAACAATCTTGTTATTGTTAAGTATGGTTGCTAAATCAATTTATTGACTAATTTAATACAAAATAAAATTAAAAAAATTCCTTTTTAAAAATCGATTAAATATTAGAAGAATATTAAAAGCATGTAAAACTTAAAACAATTCCAATTCTACAAATACAGATGTCATGAATTTAAATCGTAACATTAACATTTTCAAACTTGCTCTGAAAAAATCGTCAGCTTTAAAAATGTATAATTAGAGAGAAGATAAAAATTAAAATCTTTCTAAAAATTTTGATTTTAAGAATTTACTTTCGATAATTTCACATTTTTAGAGAATTTAATTGCGATAACTTGTTTTTATTTAAATAGAACTTTCAAAGCTTGCATTTATAAATATTTTAATTCCAAGAAAATTAAAACTAAATTAGTCAAATTGTGCATTGTGTTACAGTTCTCATTCAGGCTTTACTGAAATTTATTTGATAATTCAACAAATAATCTCTCAATGATACATCCATCTACAAATAGCGTCATGATACTGATTGTGAGTATCCTACTGATAAAGTAGTACGGAATAATAATAAGCAGAGAGAAGCATAAGAGCGACTATCCCAATCCTTTTCGTAAAATGCAAGAGGCATAACTGGAGAGCGAGCTGAAGAGCTCGCCGCGAGTTTGCAGCACTTGCTGGATAGCAATGAAAGCACATTTCCGTGTAGTACATTGTTATCCACCGAACACGCTCTTCGTTCAGCTCTTGATCGCCAGATGGATCTTGTTGTACGTATGGGGAACAAAGATCAATCTCTATAAAAGAATGCAATTATTTTTTAATTTAAATTAAATTCAATGGCGACATATATAATTTTAAAATTATATACGGTGTAAAATGTAATTCAAAATATTCTCTGACAAAATTCTACTACTCATTTGCAATACGTTATTACTGAAATTCTCTCATAATTCGTAATTTACAATTAAATTTTATTATAAGTAAGATGTTGATTTAGAATAAGTAAAATATTGATATTTTTAAAATATATAATTTAAAATAAATTCAGAACTGTATGATGTAAATATGTGTTAAACGATTTATTGAATGAAATTTAGAACATCTCGTTGTTTTACACTTTTATTTTCTATTCTGAAATTGCAAGATATTTAATAAAAATTATTAACCATAAATTAGTCGTTTCTAATTTCTAATCACGAGATCTATCTGAATAAATAAATGACGAAAAGATAGGTTTTATTATTTCTTTTGATACTTTCAGGCATTATTTCCAAGAATCGATAAGAAGTTAATGGATTGCAAATTATTAAAATGACGCGTAATACTCTGCTGCGCAATTAAGGGGAGAAATGATGTGTCATGAACTCACACTTGCCGTTACAAAGTAACTCCGACTTACGGTACAGCGTATAACTCACTTTGCCCAACGTTCGTGTGGGTTTCAGGTAAGTCATAACTTCTATTTTGCGTACACCTGTAAAGTTAGCCGACAGGTATTAGTGGCCAGGAGAAACGTAGTTCTCCAATGACGCAAAGTGATTCAGCGTCGTGAGGACGGCTTACAGTTCTGAGTCACACTTTGGCGATCTAAAATCTAGCAAAGGTCACATTCAGTCCAACATGGACTGCGTAATTGCTATTCACGTACAATATTGTACGACTTTATGCTGCACACATAAAAAAGATATGTAGAAATATGTGGAAATTTTTTTTAACATTTAGTATTTCTATCATCTTATCGAATATTATTTTTTTTCTTTGTTTTTAATCATTGTGCTCTGATTTACTACATAAAAGTAAAGCCTTAGCAGAATTTTTTTGAAATTTTTTTCAGAAAATGTTGAAATATTTTATTCATTTTTTATTCGGTTAGTGATTCAGTGAAAAAGGTTCATATAAATAAAACTATAGGAAAAATTATTTGAACGGCAAGAGATATTTTTTTTTCCGAGCCAATTTTACGAAACAAAGGGAACATTAATTAAAACTTATGCAACAAAGGAAGAGGGCTTTAAATAAAATTTAATATTCCATTTCGACATGATAGTACATTTCACGAACCTGACTGACGAATATTTTTCGTTCAGCAGAACGTTGTGCTGATGGTATCAATGCAATTATGTTATCTTTGCTGCTTTATTCAGTTTTATTTTAATCTGTTCACTTTTTCGTTCGCTAATGCGCGAGCATACAGCGCGAAGTTAATCCAAGGAATGCTCCTAGGGCAATATATTTAGCTCTAACTATTACGAACCAGCGTTTAACTTATCCGATAGTACCTGAGGGTTAATTATTTTCGTGCTGAGCTTGAACTCATCGCGTTGCTCGTTTAACTTTATTTCGCAAAATTGGCCGTTCGCGTTTACGCTCGCAATTCGTCTACAAGCAAGTTGAACGAGCGAGTAACGAAGTGCCCAGCTACTCTTACTCTCGGGAAAATAATCGCATGATTAAAATGCACAGCCCCTCCGTTCATTTTGATTCTTCGTCGTACTATCTAAATTTGAGATTCGAAGGATCGCCGCTCTTCCCTTAATTGTTTGTATTATCAGCGCTCAAAGATCTAATCATATTAACTCTGAATCGTATTACGCAGCTAAATCGTATTGCGCGTTTCTCGAAATGAGATAGGAGCGAACCGTGCGCGTGGCATTATATCCATGGCATTTTGCGTTCCGGTCGACGCGCGCTATGCGACGCCTACGTATGTAGAGTCCGCGGCGTCGCGTCACGTCGCGTCGACCGGTTACTCACCGCGGGCGACGCTCCATCGATCGTGTCGGTCGCGAGGGATTGCAGGGGTCGAGAAAGAGAGCGAGGGAGACGGGACCGGGGAGTGGGACAGCCCCCTCCGGCAGCGGTGTTTGCCCCTGTGGAGCGCGCGTCCACGGGGGTGGATATACTCGCCGGCGAAATAAAGGAGTCGCCGGCAACACGCGCGAGATAAGAAATTAACGGTGCGCGCGTGGGCGAAAGAGGGAAAGACGAACGCGTGCGGAATCTTTAGCAAATGAAAATGGAAACTGCGACATTTAATCCTTCACTCCCCCGCCACTCGTAAATAAACACTGTTGCGTACATTTCTTCCGACTTAATTCGTTTAAACGCATTTCTAGATTCCCAACGCGTCTGCAATCATACATTTTTCAAAGAGAACGTCTGCAAATAGAAAGTTATTTCTTTACTTTAATATTGCAGTGTCCATTTTTATAATGGATATTTGAAGTATTTTTTGAAACATTTTGATTTCATAAAATTACAAAATTTATTATTATATAAAATAAAAATTTCAATTTCATCAAAGAAACTCGCTAAAATATTTTTCAATAAAGTTGTGCGATAGCTAAAATATATAACATGGCTGTACAGTCTGCATAGCGTGGTGAAATGGTTCTGAGATAGTAATCCGACTAATCCGTTGACGTGGAAATCTTTTACGAGGCTCAGCTTACACGTAGATAAGAACGCTTCGAAAGTACCGATGGATCGTTGCGAAGGAGCAGCGCTCGATTGGAAAAGTTCCGCGCTTCTCTAGTCGTAATGTAGAGAAATAGTTATGTACTTACTTCCCAGTTATATCTTGCCGCTCGTTTCGTGATCGAAGGGCTTCCTTCGCTTCTCTTGGACGAAGCTCACGCAGCATAGACAGTTCTCAATATGATCGAAAATATAAGTTTAGTTTCTTTCAAACTATACTTTTCTTACATTTATTATTTTTCCTTTCTCTTTGCCAGATCAAGTATAATTATTTTATTTTAAATGCCAAAGTATAAAATATTAAATGAAATATGTATATACCTCGAAACAGAATAGCACATTAAATATATTTATTAAATAATTCACTAAAAAAAACAATATATTAAAAGTATTTAACGTATTCCTTTCAAAGACTCACAATCGATTGTGCTAATTTATTATGAACTGTGCGATAATAACTTGCGTGATTAAATGAAAAAATGTTGAATAAATTTTGTCACAAAAGATCGCAATATTATATGTTGGAATAAAAGAATCTTGACAGACCGTATATTGCATAAAAGTATTAAAATATGTAAGCACTGATATATGAATTATAAATAGATATTATATAAATATATTAATTATGAATGATTGGAATTGACGGCATTTGATGCATTTGCTTGTGAACTGTTTATCCATTATGCGACAAATTTTGTTATATTGTCGGGTGCATTTATAACATTGTGACGTCGACACATATTATTTAATTAACACAATGTGATATTAAACTTATTGTTTGCAATTTTCTATTCAAACTCACAGAATTAATAAAAAGATAATGAGATATTCCATTTAATATTTCAATATAATTAATTCATAAATTATTTTCAAAATTATATAAAAGAATATAAGAACACAAATTGTACGTATATTTTTATGTCGCGCTAAGCATTGTTTTTTCTACTTCCCGGATAGTTATGAATTGGCAGTAGTACAAGTAAATGTCGGTACCGACGTAGGGGTCTGTATTTATATTTGTACTTGCATTTATGCATTTTATGCGTTAAACCCACGTGTTGTAGGTAGTGGAATTGTACAAATTTAAACAATAAAGTAAGCAAGTACATTAGCTGAGTTAATTAAGCTAATTAAAATACCGAAAGGCTGCGCTCTATTTTGCCAGACTTGCGTCAAAGTTAGTATCAGACTGATTTTATTATTCATAGAGCATTCAATTTCCACAGATTAATCAGTAATGTTGTAATATTAATGTGTAGCGATGTGTTCTTACTGGAAATTGTACTTCATAATTCACAGTATATTATATATTTTCTTCTTAATGTATAATATTATATACTTACCGCAATTTAATATCATGCTATTAGTATCATTCAATTGATCGCGAGCACTGATTCTTCATACTTACCTCTCTTTAAGGTACAAGGCTGTCGTGTGTGAGGTTTTCATATAAAGCAACGATCGAAATAAAGTGTAAAGCCTCTTGAAGCAAACAAAATACTTTATTGTTAGATATTATAGTACAGTACGTGTAGCCCGTGACA